CAGCAAAAATGTTCACATTACATGAAAAGATATACCTACTCACATTGTTTCAAGTAACTATGACTATTTCTTCTCTAAAAGGAGATGTATTTAATAAAGTTTGTTGATTTCTTTATTAAATACATAAATTTTAAATCTAAATTTTAAGGTAAGAGATCATGATATATATTCATAAATTTTCTGTTAAAAATTCACTAAAAACAGAGAAGTAACTGACTGTGAAAGTGAATAGAATCATCAATTGTTTTATACTACATTTTAGAAAATTCAAAAAAAATTGTACAGTTCACTTACAACATAACTGAATTACCATTATTTGTTTTTCTAAATTTCACTTTAGTGTCATTTAAAAAAAAAGTTTTATTTTCAACAGAATTTTTTCTTTTGATAACTTAAAAATGATGAGAGGACATTTTCTAAATACTAATAAAACTTCCAAACTATAGCTAAAATCTAAAAATTTGTTAAATTTTATACAACATAAAATGGGAAATCAGTTTAGTAGTTAATAATATTAATCTTTACTTCATGCTCCTGAACAAAAGTAATAACAATATTTTGGCAAAACTAACAATATTTCCTAGACATTAAACTAATTGGTATTATTTAACTGAATTCAGATGCATTAACCATTCAGTGTGAATATTTCCTATGTTTGATTTCACTAATTTGCTTATTCAATGTAGATATTAAACAAAACAGAAATAAAATTTCACTTTCATGTGTAATATGCACCTAGTAATTAAAAATGAGCATTTGGGGAAACAAAATAAAATAATAAAAATGAATAAAAGAAAATGAATGCTTAATCACTACAACTCTACCAGGTTTTTTTTCAATGAGAAAACCTATACATTTTTTTAATTGTAACAATTGCAAAAATTAAACTTTAATATGACATTTTATGCAGCATATACAGACTTCAAATAAAATATATTTGAAAATGTAACCATTTCAGTTCATTTATATATTTTTATTTATAAATTAGCGTAGTACCCCTAAAAATATGACATACTTACTTATGTATAAATTCACACTTTTGTTTGGGATGAGAGTAATTTTAAATGACACTAGTGTAATTTTGAAAATAAAATTATGGTAATTGTTCCACAATATGTGTACTTTTTTAAGATTATTCTCATCTTCATTGTTGTTGTTTTTCATACCGTTTTCCCAGTTTTATTTTTTCTGGTTTTCTTTAAACATACTGTTGTCGAATCTTAATGGCCTATAAGCTGTATTGCATTTTAAATAGTCATAGATTGGTTTTGTAACTTTTCTTGATTATGTACCTTGATGTTTTCATGTGCAAAATTCTATACAAAAAAATTAATTGAGTTTTAATTTATCTCGAACTGTCAGATAAAAATAGAATATTTCTATAGAAAATTTAATTAGTGAATTAGTTTAATGAGCCAAAATAATTAAGTATATGAGAGACTGATAAAATATTTTTTATGGAGAGTAATAATTGTTGCATTTAATCTTTCACTCCTTTTAAGATATGCAGAAATTATTAAGTAATACTGCAATAAGCTTTTCATAAAATTATTAAATACTATTTAAGTTTTATGCATTAACTTCATAATTTGTGTTATTAAAACTTTATCAGTCAAAGATATGTTCTTTTTGTAAAGTCTCTTTAGAATAAGTTAACTTGATAAAAGCAAGAAAAAGATAAAATCTATACAAAAAATTCAAATGATATCATTGTTTGTAATATTTGTTTATTAGGTGTTAATAAATTAAAGATAAATAATTTATGAATAGACAACAAGAAATAAATGCCTGCCTTCTTGTGGCATATAAGACTCGTAATCTATATAAATGTTCCCATATAGATAAATCAGTTGGATGAAACCTTTTTATTGGTATACAACCAACTTATTTGGCAGAATGAAAATGATTTCAACACTGTTTAATCCTAGAATCAACTAACGACTGTTCCATTGATAATGAAGCTGTCCTAATGGCCACTGGTCTGGACAGGTAGTAGATTACTCTCATTGTAGACTTGGTTAGTTGACCATATCTGTTCCTGCAATTAAAGTAAATGTGAATATTAACATCACAGGGATTAAAAGAAGAGAATCTAAATCATGGAATTCTAAGTACATTAAAAAATACTAAAGTGCTTCCGACTTCTGCAAGTTAGGGTATTTTGGATAAAATAAGTATATTTTCTACAGAATATATGATAAACACAAACTAAGATAAAAAAATATTTCACCTCTAACAATTCTTGCAACATTTGTTCAGTTAGTGAATTTTGTCTACTAACAAAGTAAAAATGAAAGATCAATATAATTAACTAGTGCAGAATTACAAATCCTCAACGATGTAAAGACATCAACATATTGTATTTGAGAGCAACAGCAATATTATATGACTGAGAAGGATCATATTAGCATTATTCTTATAGAGACAAACCATAAATACTATTCTTTCAAAAATGCACTGATATTCTAAAGTGGAAAGTAGCCAATAATATTACCTTATGAAGAGTTATCTGTCTTGATTTGATGTGTTTTAATCATTGTTTACAGCACAGTGATGTAAACAGTGTATATGGGAACAGTCAAGAGATAGCAGGCTAAGACTGACAGAGATAAATGGGACCCATTTTATATTAAATTTAACTATATTCTCACTGTTATACCAGTATTTTCAACCTTTTTACTCTTGTGGAACCCTTGATATAGTTTTCATGTCTCAGGGAACCCCTACATAAAAATTATAATATACTAGTATTAATATCCATCTCTTTTATATTTTTTATTGTAGTTCAGATGGCAAACATAGTATATGGACACAGTGCATGTTTTCTGTATTCTAGTGAGTCGCTCAATGATACACTAATCACACTGATGCCACATAAGCAACACTAAATGCATTCCCTATAATTATTATAATTTCAAATAATATAAAATATTATTATAACTGAGGATTTCCAGCAATATTATAAATATAAAATTACTTAAAAATGCATTAGCTTACTGATTATTCATATAAATCAACTCGAGTTATTCACCAAAAAGATAAGTAGCATTAATTTCCTGTTCAGTCACATTGTATTCTTTCTCCCTTCACAAAAAATTGTTTTTTCCTTTTTTTAAAAATGCAATTACATATATGCACACACATATTTCTTAAGAAAATAAAAAACATGTGTAACCACTAAAAATAACATCTATAGTAAAAAAAAAAAAAAAATGGTTTGTTTGAAATCTCTCTGTCTCTTATATATATATATATATATATATATATATATATATATATATATATATATATGAGAGAGAGATTTCAACCAAACCAATTTTTTTTTTTAAGGAGAAAAATTTTAAACTTTGTAAAACTTTCTGTAGATAAATATTTTATTATATTTTACAAACAAGACCATTGTTTTTTAAATTTTTTAAACAAGGCCATGTAAAAATTAAATCTCCATACATACATATACTGTATTAGAATCAAATGTTTAAGAGCTGTCATCTTCAAAGTTCATGTTGCTACAGTTCATATATTTATATTACTTTTCATACAAGAGCGAGAAAGAGAGAGATACATAGGATACAAGTACTTGGCTTTGGAATTGAAAAGGAGAATTTCTGGGATTTCAGAAAATGATTTCATATATTGAAGATGAGCCTTCACATTTTGTGTGAGTTTTACAACAAAAAGGTATAAACAGGAAGACTAAAGCCAAAGAGAAGAGTATTCAGCAGGAACCCTGTACCCTCTGATAGAAGTACTAAAATTAGGAAATATTTTTTTCAAAACAAAAATAATTATTATATACCTAAAGAGTGAATAGGTACATGCATTCAAATAAGCCATTCATTTCCCTTAACTGATGTTTTATCAAAAATTCAAAAACAATTTAACTTACCTTAGACTTTTTATTGCGTTTATTTGATAGATTGGTAACAGAACCTTGGACACCCATTGACTGTCCAACTTGTTTTGTATGCCTATTTATGAACAGAAATGTCAAATAGATATTTAGATTTTATTAAAATTATATGTTTTCTATACTCAATTGTGTTCAGGGGGAAATTAAACAAGATAAACTGTTTTATAATAATAGTTGGGATAGTGAAAGTTTCCTTCCTCAATTTTATTTGTCTTGATTATTTTAGACAAAATCCAATTTGATGTCAAAGGCATTATGTTTTTGACAATATATTGTCTCAAGTAAATTTGAAAAGAAAAAAAAAGCTTTTTATACATTCAAAATTTTTTTGTTTCATTTCAAGTAATAAAACATGATACTTACTTGGAAGATATTTTAGCGGAATGGGACTGTGTATAACCTTCTTCCTTCAACTTCAAGCCTGCTTCACATATTTGATAAAAAATGAAAATATTAACTTTCATTATCTTGCTACATAATGTTAAAATCTATCTCATAAAAGTGGTTTATCAATTTATTTTTAGTTTATTTTCAAATTAAAATCACCTGTACTATTTTAGCAAAAAAACAAATAGCTTTTTTTCTTTTAACATTGCAGCTATTTATATTTGCTTAGTCATGTTTAACGGTACTGTGTTATAAGCTGTATATTCAAAACATTGCAAACTTAATATAGTGTAATTAGAGAGAGAATTAACATGAATCCTATTTTATCGAATTAAGATATTTTCAACCTTAATCATCAGTAGACTTTTAACACTTAAATAATGTAAATTGATAAAAATATTTGATAACAAATCACTTTTACCAGCCAAAACTTTAATGTTATTTTGACTAATACCAATGAAAAACAAAATCTGTTCAGTTAGGAACCAACTTGTGATTAATTACATCATTAACATATTTACATGGGAGTTATGCTAATGAAAACTCTAAAAAAAATCTGTTAATTTATAAATTATATAAACAATTAAGTGGTATTTTGGAGAGCTAATTATATAAAAAAGAAAATTTTTTTCTTTAAGACAAATCACCAAAGATTTATTGAATCCAAATGTACCCTATACTAACCTGATCCTGAATCAGCCACTTGAAGAGGGGCTAAACAAGGCAATGAATGTCGAGAAGATTTTTTCCGTTTCCGTGGCAGTTTTTCAAGCTCTACATTGTGAGAATGCTCATCTTTTAAAATGTTCTTACCAATATTTCCTTTCAGGAAATTGACTGCTGCTTGCTTCTTTTTTAACAAACTGAAACGTCTCTTCTTTTTTGGTGGGATGTTTCTGTTTCAAAAAATAAAATTAAGAAAATCAGTAAACATTAAATGATTTTAAAAAATAAAAGTAAAAATATAAAAATCAATAAAATCTCAGTAAAAATGCTATTAGCTGATAAAATTTTAATAGATTGATTTTGATATCAACCTTTAACCTTTGATGAGTTATTTAAGTCACCAAGTGAAGACTTAACTTAATATTCATTAGTAATGGTCAACCACTCTTCTCATTAACCATAACTCCATACAGAAGTGCTTAGCTGATAAAAATTACATTTTATTAAAAGAGAGGAAGAGTGTAAACACCAACAATTTTAGCATTCTGATTATAGTGACTGTTTTGACCATATTATTCCATTCAAGTTCAATTTTTTATTTTCAAATCTACAAACTCTTAATATTCTCAAAGAAAACATGTCCAGATCATTTTGATTACTTCGCTTTTAACCTGTTTTTTTAGTACTAAAAATCATTCTTCCAAGGATTTTCTTAAAAAAATACTGTGTGTGTGCCTGTGTATGTGGGTGTATACCTGCAAAAAGCAATACCTAATGTTTTAAATGTGTTTTAAAAAAATGAAGATTCTTTCTTGATACTTTTATTTCAGTTTTAATTAAGTTTAATATTTTCAATAAGCTTTCAACTGAATTTAAATTGATCAGAATTATTTTTTCTGATTATCAGTAAAATTGGCCATATCAAATCAGTCAATATAATTCTCATTATTGAAAAAAAATTATTCAAAAATAAAATATACTTTTCTAAAACTGTTTTAGGAAAATTAGCCAATTTAAGTTTTAATTAATCCGAATTGAAACAAATATTACTTTTAGTTTAAAATATCACAGAACAGCATTTTTTAACACTTAGGTAGGTGCTATTATAAAGTGTTAGCAGTTCTATTGACAGCCTGATATTTGGGAAATTTAACTAAAGGGTACATAAATGTAAAAATTACTTTATGTGAATGCCTTTTACATATATATATTTTTTTAACTAGCTAGTATTCTTAAAAATTTTAGAAATATTCTAAGCATTAGTATTCTATTGAATTTTAAGTCCTTTCCTCTTACTTATAAAGAGGCTTGTTAAGGAAATGTTGGAAAATCACCAATAAATTTAAAATTTACTATGATTACTGTTCTTATTTTCTGATAATGTTGTGTATGGATGTCCATATTTACAAAAATCAATATGTTTATACAACATAAAATATCCAAAATTCTTTTTAAAATACTGGAGTCATTGAATTTCAACATTTATGATTAGTAAATACTGTTTTAATTTAATAGTAAAATGTCATTTAACTGCTACAAATTAATACAGAATTTTAAGATTTAAAAGTTCACAAATTATTCTAATTAAAATTTAAAAAAAAAAAAAAGCAAAATTCTTGTAAAAATTCACTGAAAAATTTTTTTTCTTAAAGACAATAATGTCCATAATATATTTTGTTCATAAAGCAATTAAAAGCTTTTCTAATTAAATAATATCTTAGTTGTATTGAATTTTCATTACAATTCAGGACAGATTTCCTGCAAGTGGGTATCATATTTAACAAAAGAGTTTGATGATTTAAATTTTCTGAGGATATATTTACATTTTGTGTGTGTGTGTGTGTGTGTGTGTAACAATTGAGGGTCAGTGTGCAAAATAATGATGACCCACCCGATGCCGTGCTAATTTGGTCCCATTGACAAGTATTAATATTGCTATCGAAGAGGGTTCATTATTTATAATTAAAAAAACAGAATTGTGGGGAACAATTCTTGTGATAATTTAATCATCCAAAAACTTTTTTTTTTATTCACATTACATCCTTCATTTATATTATTTATTATAGCAATTAAAAGCTTATACAATTAAATAATTAGATAGTTTTAATGCAGTTTTTATGTTACAATTCAGAGCACATCTTGCGGAATTTAATTATAGCATAAAAAAAAAAAAAAAAAAATATCTGATGATATGTTACTCTTAGTAGGACAAGAAATAAGCAGACTCTGAAATTACAGATTGAATCTATGGACTATTAAGGATTACTTAGACCTTCCAAAGTTTTCACAATAAATAATTGTGCTTTGGAAAAACATTTGCAGTAAACATAATTTTAGTTGTAAATATGTAACATTTATGAGGATATACAGATAACTTTTCTTAGGTGTTTATAAATTATACACTGTTCAATTATTAACATTAACAACAAACTATTTTAAATTACAAAGTTGTACTTGGATTAAACAAAAATTACTCACAAAATAATACATATTACTTATAATACATTCCTTTTTGCCGTCAATTTTTACAGCATGGGTACACTAGTAACTAATATAAACATTAAGCACAACAAAGAATTTCTTGAAATTTCATAAAATTAAATGACTGGGTGTTATGGATGAAAAAAAAAAATATAAATAAAAATAAAATATATTTTAGCAAGATTTACTAAAAAAGAAAGGTTTAAAAATAATTTAATTCATTTTTGATATCTGATTTTCACAAGAATTTACAAATCAATTTGTTTTTCACTGTTTAAAGACTCAAATTTCCCATACAAAATTTATGGTCCCATGTTAATACCAAAAGAAAAAAAAAATTTAATCCAAATTTCTAAGGATCTAAAAAGGACAGAAAAAAACATTTTTTGCATAAAAAATTCCTTTGATCTTTCATTGTAATAATAGCACAAAGGTATTGACAATAAAAATTTTGTTTTTATTATATATTAAGCATTATTTTTCATCATGTACCAATATATGTGTGCGTTTGTGTGTGTGTGTTTTAACATCACCTCCTTCAAAGTAGTCAACTTGCACAGCAATACACAGGCCCCAGCATCCCACTTTTGGAATCTGGCCTGGAAATCATTTTCCATAAATGAGTCAAGAATCTTCTGCGATTTGCTCTGGATCTTGTCAAGGGTGTTAAAATGGCAATTTTTGAGCTGTATTTTCAGCTTGGAGAAGAGATAGAAGTCCACAGGAGCTAAATCTGGCAAAAAGAGTGGGTGCTGAAGCAATACAATGTTGTTTTTGGCTAGAAATTGATGAGTGAGGAGAGCTTGGTGACAGGGTGAATTGTCATTGTGAAGAATCTAATTCTTTGCACTCCATAGATCCAGTTGCTCCCACAAACATTCTCCCTCAAATGCATCAAAATGCTGCAGTAGAACACTCAATTGACAGTCTGGCCCTGGGGGATGAATTCTCAATGCACATTACAGTGGATGTTGTTAAAAAAAAAAAAAAAAGTTAAATGCAAAATTTCATGTTGGCTCTTTGTTCCAACTTCCTGTTCATGACAAAATCACAAGCTACAGGATACATGTGATCACAAAAACACAAATTTCACAACTTGTGAAGCTAACACAAAGATGTCACTTGATACACTGGCGCATGAAGGTCACTGCTAGCTCTCACTGTGTGAAGCTATCTGTTGGCACACTACAGAACTAGCCAGAAGCTTTTTGATACCGCTATATATATATATATATATATATATATATACACACACAGACAAGATTAATATAAATAAAATTAATCATTTAGCTGATTGATGTTACATTCACCACCATCACACAAGAGTTTCATTGGTGACCCTTTTTGCAATTTTCTACTTGTTAGGAGGTTTCAGAAATATATATATATATATATATATATATATATACACACACACACAATTGTTTAATCAAATTACCACCTTTCACATAATTTTCAATGAATAAAAAAAAAAAAATTATTCAAAATAGTTCTCAAATGTATATAATTATTTATTTTACAGAGTGTATGATTTAGATTACTTCACAATGTTTTTTTGAAGTTTTGATTTATTCAAATAAAATTTAATAAAGGATTAATCACAATTAATTTTTCTTTTTATTTATCAAATAACATCTCTCTTCTATTGGTAATTTGTAAATCACTCACATTCTCCTTTGCTTTCTCAGTGAAGTATCAAATAAGCTAAGATATACCATTATTAAACAATCAATTTTTTTAATTATTTGCCATTAATTGGCTCTCATAGTTTTATTTATCATTCATTTTAAGTATCTAATAAATTTGAATATATATTGATTTGGGGCATATTATTTAATTGCTTTACCTTGGTATTTCACTGGTTGTTGATTCAGCAGTCAGTTTTTTGTTGAACTCAGAACTGGAAGGAGTAGCACTTGTACCATCTCGTTTGTTAAGGTCTGTAGACAATTTTTTTTTACTGGTAGCCACAGCATGGTCTGAAGTGGAGTGAAGATACCTCTGTTTAAAGCTGTGACTGCGACCATGACTGCTGCTTGCAGTGGCAATGAGCTTCGGACTGTCTACTGAACGACTGTGATAGCGAACTGTCACACAATGACTATCACTGGCACCAGACATAGAACGAATTAAGTTAGACCGACCCGAAGGTTTCTTATGTACAGATGAACTGCTATTATTGGTTTTAGATCTTACAATTGTAGGGGCCTGTGTGAAGAAAAATATAATAAAATGATATTCTCAAATTTCTGATTTACTTACTACTTTTAGTGATTTACTTTTAATCAGATAAATATATTAAAATCTTATTTACATGTTTCATTAAAAATGACTAACAGGATAAATTTGTTAATTTTTTTTGTGCAAACAAGAGATTTTTTTTTTCTTTTTTACTTAGTGTATGTTGAAATGGTTCAAATAACAGTTTGTTCCAAACACTTTCAGTTAATGTATTAACAATTTTCAAGGATTGTGTGTGTGTGTGCACATGCAAACACACACACAGACACAAATATAATACATGCCTCTAACTGTATATAGAAAAAAAAAATTACAAAATAATAGAATCCCTCATGTATTCAGGAATTAAAATATTTCTATCTCTTACACACCATTTGTAATAGCAGAAACTAAATCACTGCCCAAATATAAAATCTCAGAGAAGATAAAAATAACTAAATTTGACAATAAGCAAAGTTAGTGTGTATATTTGACAGTATATTAAATGAGAAATCATAATAATATCTATAGATGATAATGCCACTAACACGCAAGGGATTACTGAGAGAAGTGAAAGGAAAATGAGGAGAAGGACAATAAATGAACAGAGTGCAGAAAGACAGAAGATGCCAACTGATGTTGCATTTAAATTTTTAAAGATTGTAGGTGACAGTGAAGTTAGTTCCAGAGCAAAGAAGAGAAACTATTAGAATAGAACGTATGAAATCTTCCTATTTCAACAGTAAAATAATGAGATTTAGTAGCCAATCTAGTAGTAAGCTTAAATTCATGTGGTTGAGGTTCCAAAGAAGATAGCACATTAGAATAATTGTCATGAATATATTTATAGAAAAGACACAGGGATGCCACAAAATGGCAGTCAAGATGCCAGGTCAAGACTGATAAGATTACAGACCCTTCTTTGGATTTTGTCAAGAATCTCAAGATATATAACAAGAGCACCAGACTAGCCACAGCAGCAATATTCAATGTATGGACAAATGGTAGAGTTATAAATGTGCAAGATGGATTCTGACAAGAAAAATTGTCTGGCACAACACCAACTTTTCTAGTAGCAGACCTAGCAATTGATTCAATATAATCATTCCACCTCCTGTCAGTGGAAAACATGAAACCTAAAAGGTACAATAGGTTACTCACCTGGAGGTTAGCATCAGCGATGCAGATGGAAACCAGAAATGGTTCCTTAAGTTGACTATAAGACAGCAGTTTCATTTTAGAAGCATTATAATTTACAAATTATTGAACTTACTATTAAGATAAGAGTAAATAGTTTCATCATTAACATTGATAGTGAGTTGGGAACTGAGGACATTGGGAAAGTTGGTCATGAAAATAAGAAACAAAGGAATCCCAAGGACAGAGACCTGGGGTACACTTGTATTTATGTGAAAGCATCTAGTTGTTCAACATAACTTAAATACACAATTTGTTAAGACTGGATCAAATGAAAAATTTGGCTAGAGACACCATAGCCCTTTTAGCTTGTGAAGAAGACCAGCATGCCAAACACTGTCCAATGTTTTTAAGATATCTAAAGCAACAGCCCAAGCTTTACCATTCTTGTCTAAAGCTTGATAGAATCTTTCAATAATTACCATTAAAACATCAGCAATTGACCTAGAGAAGTGAAAGCCGTATTATTTGTCTGAAAGAAGTCCATACAAAATGAGAGGTTTAACCGATTTGAAGTTGATTAGAACCTTTATTACTTTGCTAAAAGAGGTAAAAGACTAATAGGATGAGGATTCAGCAGCATTCTTAAAGAAAGGAACTATAGAAGAGGGATTTCCAACAAGATAGAAAGAAGCAGCAAGGCATACATTATAGAGTTTAGAGAGAACAGGAGTCAGTACAGGAACATGTTCCTTAGGACAATTACAGGGATACTGTCAAGTTCACATAACTTGTTGGAATCTAGTTTAAAAATGATTCCGTTCTAGGCAGAAAATCAGGTAAAGAAACTCTTAATGAGTTGAAAGTGGAGCTGGACAAGAACTTACTTTAACAAGCATCCTGTTTTATCAGAAGAATTGCCAAATTTAGTATGTTTGAATATTGTCATGTCTTATTAATAGCAACAGTAAAAACAAACTTGACTAAAATTGAAAATTAGGTGAGTGCAGTTGTGAGCCTGCCATATGCAATACAAGGAAAATAATACCAAATGCTAAAAGTTAAAAACATTAAAAAAAATTAAAAATTAAAGGTTTATTACTTGATAAATTATTTTATCAAATTCCATAAAGTGGTTTCATTTGTAAATTTTATGAAAAAGGCATTGTAATGTAAGTGTAGTTTTTAAATGAAGAGTTAAATGTTTTATCTAAGATTGCTAATCAAAACACTATTAACTTGACTTGTATGGGTGTCCACTCTAAAGTCTCTTTACTTAAAAATGATGCTCTGTAATTAGATATTGTGTCTAGATATTGTAAAAAGACATTTAACACTTACACTTTTCAGCTGTCCAATTTTGCCAGTTTTAGGGATATAAGAATCAAATGAGGGACTGTGAGATAAGGATGATTGGGCAAGTTTGCAAGGACTCAAACTGGATGTAGTTTGGACAGATAATTTGGACACTGGAAGAGATTTACACCTTGTTGATGGAAATGGTTGAGAAGTGTTCCCAGATAAAGCAGAATATGAACTGTGTGGTGGCTTTGTTGCAGAATGAGATATACTTCCTTTGTCTGAAACCAACAGATTTAACTTCCTGGGGCATGATGAGAATCTTCGAGATGCTGAAGAAAGAATAAAAAAATATATGTGAGGGTGTACTGAAAAGTTCTTGGTCTAACCACAAAGCCTTTTTAACAAAAAGAAATTGTCAGATTTTGGGAAGTAGATACCAAGAACTTTTCAGCACCTCCTCTGTAAATATACATTATCATTTCATGTTAACATTTTAATATACTCAATAATATGTCTTAAAGGAATGAAGAACTATAATGACATAATTTAATGAAATCTTTCTCAATGTAGGTTTAAGTTGCTAGTAATGTTCATTAGTGGAACCTTTTCTTATTTCTAGTAGCATGCCAGTATTTAACTATAATGTAAAAATTTCTATTATGTAAAAGATAAGTTATATTTAACATCCTATAGCAGTAAGATTGTTTATAAATAAATTTTCTTTTAATATATTAAGCTTAAATACTTTTGGCATATTGAAAAATGAGATCATTTGTCGTAATTTTTAGAAAGTAGTAGTCATATTCAATTATTGCATCTTCATCTCTATTGTCTTTATCAAATGATTTTGGCCTTCCTCAGATGAATGCCACATTCCATAACCTTCAAGGGATAATGAATTTCATCCCCTATCTAAGTGGACATATTTTCATCCTTCCCTTTTTATCAGGTCTTTCAAGGGATTGCTAAACTTACAAAAGGTCATTCAAAAAGTAAATGTCTGTTCTTAACTATTTAAAAGAAATTTAAAAAGGTAGAAACACATAAAACATACCAAAATGAACACAAAATTTCAGGATTCCAAATCTAGTTCTTGACAGTCTCCTTCCTTTTCAAGCATGGTATTCTATATTTGAATGAGGGCCTGGTATGATATTCTACATTTGAATGAGAGCCTTGTAGAAGCTTCTTAGTGCTTTGTTAGTCATACATGAATTACCTCTTTCACCTCAATATAATTAGAGAACCCCTGTCTTCTGAGTGTCCCCTTCATGGGCCAAAACAGGTAACGGTCTTTTGGTATTAAGTCAGGTCAGTAGAGTGGATTGAACAAAGATGTCCAGCCATGTACTGTGATTACTTATCTGTAAGCTGCTGTAAAGATTTGTACTGTCATGTTGCAAAAGGACATCACTCATCTTCAAATGTGACTGAACTTGAAGCTTTTACCCGAATTTTGACAATGTGCCAATATGAGACACTGGTACCATTAACCATAGACTTTTTTTTTTAAACTAAATTTCACTCAACCCTCAACTTGAAGAGGTGAAGATTCAAGGAGTCTTGTGTCACAAGGTAGCAGCTTTTGGGAAAAAAGCTGTATGAGGGGAATAAACTTCTTTCATTTGGCACAAAAAGGAAATAAGGTTGATTTGATTCCATGAATTTTAAACTATCAATACTGGAGAGTGAGGATTGTGTAGCTCCAACATAGCCAATATAGCAGCAATACTCTTTTTTGGTCTACTTTTTGGAGCAATATTGTGAGCTGACTATTTTTCCATCTTTAGCAGTGGATTGTACATCACTTGAGATATGGAATGAATTTGATACCCAATAGAAAGGCATGAAACCTCATTTAGAGTGGAACAATTCATCATGATTGGAGAAAACTTAGTGTCTAAACAGTGGTGCTGAAATGATTCTAGCTTGGTTTTTTCTTTTTAGGTATTAAAAGTAACAAGTCAGTTATTTTTCCATTCAGCTGTTAGAGCTAAGTCAGAACTCTGATCATTTTACTTTTTGAAGAATATAACTCCCTCCTGGTCCCAAAATAAGGTTGCCATCACTTTTTTGTGGAGAGTTGTACTTTAAACAGACAGGATATTGCAATTCCATTGATTTTCCTTTGCTTTCAGACTGGGAAATCCAGGTTTCATCTCCTGCAAGTATCCTGCTTAGTAATGTCCATGTTGTGCAGCTCCAAAGGCTCTTGGACAGCAACTATACTTTGTTCCTTCACGGAAACTGTCAACATTTTGGGGACCTACTTTTCACAGACCATTTAGTACCCATTATACTACAGGCAATACCATAACAGACCTAATGGCTTTAATGCATTTTTGCAATAATGATTTTTCTGTCAAATGTTATGAAAGCATCAGCCTATTTGGCTTTATCCTCATTCACAGTAGCACCTGGCTGCCACTAAGTCAGTTTTTTCTTTCTTTTTAAGATTGCCAATAACTCCACTAGCTCATCTTACTAAAGTGCAAAATTTCCACATACATTCATTAACATCCTGTAAATGTTTGCACTTTCTCCTTTCAAAAATAAAAATTTTATGTGTCAAGGAGCAGTCATTTTTTAAAGATTGATTTAAAAAAAAAAAAAAAAAATAAAATAAAATAAAAATTTCTCTTAAGGATTGGATCTTTAGGAATTGTAACTATAAAAAAAAAATAAGTTCTGATTAATGCTTTGAAGATTGAACTGAAAACAGGCATTAACTTTTGACCAACTATTGCCCTAATCTTTATCACAACATTTCAGCTGTTGTGCCCTCCTGCCTTTTATCAGCTATATATTGCTCTAGGTTATCTACAGGAAAATCTGAACCCTTTATTTAACGAGAGTAGACTGTTCTCGTTTCACTGTCTATGTTTAGGGAAATCTCATCTAGTTCTTATTTTTAGTACTGCTCAGATATTGCTTGCCTGTTTCCAATGAGTTCAAGTACACACTCCTGACCCAAAGATTGAACTCACAATTACTATGCCATATTTCACATGACATTTAGGAAGTGAGGAAGGCCAGATAATGTATCTGAAATATAAATGTAACAAAAATTAGAGAATGCTCCTTCAAAAAAAATCATTGTACGACACTGATCACCATGTCACTTGCAGAATTAAACTAGAACCAGTTGGCTATCATACAAGATTCTAGATGTTGAAAATAATCACCAACTGTTGCGATTAAATATTTATCCAAATCATCCAAATTGGTCATTGTGCTTACTGTGTGTAATTATGAAAAAAATGTCCAAGAAGCCAAAATAACCTGAAGAGATTTTATATAGGATCAATTGCCTTTTTGTCAGTATTTGTTCTATTCAATGAGTTTTCTTGTGGAACTACTAACAAGTTGTAGAAGGGTAATCACAAATACTTTCTTTTCAATGCAGAAGCTTACATTTGGTCAAAGATGATCTGACATTAAAGATGACCTGAAACAATCAAAACTGGATTCATGTTAGACAAGTGAACCTGTATCCTAACAGGATCAAGATATCATTGAACAATAAGATTGACTATCAAGGACATATGTATGTGTGTATATACTATATTTACAAAATTAAAAAAAAAAAAATTCAAATTCTAAAATATATCTCATCAGAAATTATTTACTTGTAGTAAATCAATTGAGGAAAGGTGAAATAATCTGAATTTACACTAAAATTCATTAGAGAAAAATATCAAATCAATGCTAAAAGTTTGGAAACTAAAAGTTACAGTTTGGAAAAAAACAGTTTCACTTTTCCTTAGCAGTTAATAATAAAACAATCTGTGTCATGTATACAAATTCATATTGTTCAAATCAATTGTTTTGAACATTGTGAAAATCATTTATCAACAAAGTGTAATTAATTTTTCTGTGATCATACTTTTTGTGAGCATAGTTGTTAATCTGATCTGTTAATAATTGCTATAGACTATGACTTGCTGGACCACTATCTTGATAGATCAGTTGGTTGATCATAGTCAGCTGGCTTAATTGCTGGGTTGAAGTAAATATAAATATTGTAGTAATGGGGACTAAGAGAGTTTAGCACATGTGGAAGTGGAATATGTCTTATGTTCAACATTAAAGCTAAGAGAGCCCCAACCCAAAATTTGAGAAAATTCTAACTTTAGATTACAAGTGTTGGAAAAGGAATTTTGAATTGTGAACAAAAGCTGTACGTCTATCATCAACTGGAAGGGCTAAACTAGTGACATCAGAAATGTCAGTTGCTAAAGGATATTATTATTATTATTAGAATTATTAAATAATTATTAGAAAAAAAATTGACTGTATTTATTACAAGATAACTGACACTGTCTTAATGCATATCTAGCTTTTGAAAAATTGAAACATGAACCAAATGAAAATACTTGAGTGGCTTTGATAAGAAGCCATATAAACTTAAGGAAGTTAAATTTGAATTTCTGAACACTACTTGCATGTAGGTGGTTGACATATTACAAACAAAGTCAAATTCATTTTCAGTTAGCATTGTCAACAAAAATGATGTTTATTAATAGGATGTACATTAAAAAAATTGTTGACTGAAAGCTGTGGAATCCTGAATACTCCTGGTATTTATTGAACACAAATTTTGGTGATAAACAAAATGAATATCAATTGAATTTAAAACATTATTTGTCAAGTTTAACTGATATCTTAAAAAATTAACAGCATTCAGCATTCATTAGATTTCAATATACAGATAAAAAATTAGTCATTATATAAGTTTTTTTTATTTTGGGGTATTTATTTTATCAGGCTGAAATGTAAAAATATTTACTCAAGCTTCCAAAATTTCCAACTTTTTCCTTATTCACATTAATTATAATTTTGCATTGTAAAAGTAACTTCACATAATTTCCTTGTAAGAAAATATTAAAGGCAATAAAAAAAATGCACATTATAATATGGATTATCACTAATGATAATTTATTTAATGGTAATATTAGCCATTTCCTTATAAGAAAACATTCAGCATTCATTGACCAAGCAGCCAGTACTGCTTTTAGTTGAAATTTATAAAATCTTTCTCTAAACAAGTTTTTCAAGTTCAGTAGCTGTTATTGCTCTTTCCAATTAAGGAGTTTCCTTCCTAATCTTTATTTAAGATAGTGTGGAATATCAGTATCTTGATTATGTGATTATTTTCTCTTCAAGTTGCATGTAATATATCCGTTTTAGCTGTTGCAAGCCCTCAAGCAATGCTTGTTATTTGGTACATTTCTTTGTTAGTGTTTCTGTAGTGCCAGTCCACAAGAATTGAAGAAGTGTGTTCTTCACTAAGACGCACAGGCTTCACTTGCTCAAAGCTATTTTTATCCATAGATTTGAGAAAGAAGTTATATACAGCTGACAGTTTAAATATTTCTGAACAGGTTTGACACCATGCATAACATCCACATTAAAATCTTAATCTGACGAGGCTATTTAAGAATGTGACTAAAGTTTTCAAGTTAATATTTTGTTTATGTAGCAATTTGAAATGTTGGGTGAAACTACCACTAGTGAAACCTATTCTATGTTCAATTTCCTCATCTCCTATACTATATTTGTTATAATTGATCCATGCACTGAGGTATTTGAAGTGTTTAGTATTTACTAGATTCCCATTCTTAATTTTTATGCTGGATTCAGAGTACATATTACTTCTTTCATTCCAATTCTGTTTTGGAAAGCTTTAACTTAAGTCCTATTTCATGAAACACTTGGTAGAGGATGTTGATTTTTTGTTCCAAGATCATTCTTATCCCAACTATGAATACCTGTGTCATTAGCATAGCCTCTCGCCCATCATCAATACATTGGCCTCAGATGGAAAAACAAGATAGTTTTCTTCTATTGGTAGATTCATTTGGAATGTGTTATGGAATACTTAAATGATCAGTGCCAATTTCTTCACATCCATGTTTGTAAATGTGCAGGGCATAGTCCAGGAAAAGTTTAAATAGACTGGGGCTCTCATTTTCTCATCAGACGCCTGATGAGGTTTGAAATGTTTCTGTATGGAAGTACTCACCAATAAAATTCTTCTATTAGATTAATGCAAACAGTAGATTTGGAGCTTGGAAGGTGATTTCCAATGGATGAGAAGAAGTCTTTACTGATGTGGTCTTGTACTACTGTAAGGTCAACATAGTAGGTATTCATTTTCTATTAGAGAAGTAAGCAATTTACTGGAGTTCTTTGGTGATATATATGCCATTATTACATTCCATACCAGAATGAAAACAAAACTGAGTTGTGAGGAGTTGATTTTCATAAAATGATGAGAGCCTATTTAACATAATGTTCATTAATACTAAACCTGATAATCAAACAAAGTTAAAAGATACCTTCTCTAACTGGGCGGAGTTCTTTTTTGGGACCCATTTGGGATGATAGGTGAGCAGAGACTGACATTGATGCTGGTCCACTGCCTGGGGATGAGAAGCTCTCACTGGCACGTATGAATCGACTTGGTACATTGCTTGAGAAGTGAGAAAAGCTACAATTATAAAATTGATGTTTAATAATCTGAGCATAAATTATGGAAAGTAAACAGCAGCAAAGTGTCAGATTAATGGTATTTAGATTTAAAAAAGGAAAAATGAACTGGTGAAAACTTAATTCAGTAGAAATAATTTGTAGAAATTAAATGATTAATTATCTTGTTAACAAAATTATCTTATATATTTTTGAAAAATATTTTAATATGCAGTAATCTCTGATTTATGAGAAATTGATCATTAATAAAAAAAATTAAAATTCACTCCTTACAGGTTTCTTAAAAATTTAAACATACAAATTTTAGTCTGAATTTTTTTAGATGAAGAATTATAATTATTATACACAGATTTGTTTTGAATAATACTCTTATCTTGGTTATCGACACAATGTTTTGGTCAATGTACTCAAGTGTCTATCATAGATGGTAAACTTCTACAAATTTCAAATATTAAGCCTAAGACTCAAATTCCACCACTTAATTACACTATAATATAATGTACTTCAGTTGAAAAGACAGACAAGTAAAATTACCACTACCAGTTTGTCCTACAGGATGCTAAATAAAAACATTGGTTAAGTAAATCAAATTACCTGGTGTTTCACTCCCTGAATCCAGTGCAAAAAAAGTAAAACTCTGGTTCTATAGAAGCAACAAGTGGTATCATAAGTACAAATTAACTAAATAGAATTAAATGGTAAAAAAAACCTCTAACATGAATAGTGGAAATAGAACACTAACTCCATATATTGAATAAAAAGTTTGGTTTAAAAATCACCAGAAGGTTAACTTTTGACAGACATGAAGAAGTTCAGATTGTACAACAGCTAAAACAGTATGATAAGAACTAAGATGAGGACATTAGTCCAAACCAGTGTATAATAATTCAAACTTGACTGAACATTGATCTAAATTGGTTGACACTTTATAAGTGTTGAATGCTAAATAAATCAATAAAAAAAATTCAAAACAAATTAAAAAAAAATAGGAAAAAAGTGAAATAGAAGCATTTAATTATTGGTCATTTTTAATCTTTATAGCAACATTTACCTGAGCGTACGAAGTGGAGGCTTAGCATTTTTGGGTCGAGTAAAACCCTTTGGGACAAGGCAATACTTCTTTAACCATTCTTTGGCACCCAAAAGATGTTTGTACTCGGAAAGAGTCACTCTTGACCAAGGGTTGGTATCATTCATGTCTAATGCAGCAATAGCTACAGCTCTACCCACCTGTAAAAGGAAGCCAAAATATTTTTGATGGAAACTTTATAAGAATGTTCGTTTGAATTTATCTTCAAAATTCTTTTTAGTTAACAATGGTGAAAACTTTAATATATTGAAGCTACAAAAGAAAAAAAAATTAGTTACTTATTAAAAATATAAATAAATAAATTGTTATTGTTTACATTCCCATCAATATGTAAAATTTCATGAAAATTTTACTAATAGGATTCAGTATACAATAAATCAATTGACAAATAAAGACAAGATTTATCTATATGAGCTAATATAAAACATTGAGTGTATTTTTAAAGAGAGAATGGGATACAAAATCTATTGACGATTGATGCTCAGTAGTATTACTAAAATTATGTAAGTCAATTTTAATGTCTATTGCAACAAAAAAAAACTTAAGGTTATACAAAAAATGAAGGAAAATTATTGACATTAAAACAGATGGCATCAAAATGAAAATTCATAAAGAAATAAAATAACACAAACCATTTATTGAATGCTAAACAAATTTGAAAAAAATTACTTTAAAAATGTAATTGGAAGACTAAGTAATTTAATTAAATACATTCTATTTGTAAAATATTTAGTAATCTTTTAAGTATAGTGTATTATTAGTATTTTTTTTTTTGAGAAAGATGGCATTTTATAAACTATATCATTTTAATGGTGATGCACCTTTCACTTTCAAAAAACGTGTAAAATGCTATTTTGATCCTTACTTTATGAACAAATACAATTAACCAACAGAAATGTCATCCTCTATAGATATATAGAAAATTCAACATTTGTTAGGTTTAGTTTATTTTGCCATAATTTGTGTATTTTTAATATAGTTTTCATTTTTAAACCAGTACAAATAAAGTAATTATTGGGGGAAAATTAATACAAAAACATTTGCCAAGACAATAAACAAAAATAATAGGAAAAATCAATAAACTTCTATTGCTTTCATATCAAGAACTTTAATCTTGTTTATCAGGAGAAAATACTCCAAACTGAGCAATACAGCCATTCTCTATAATGCTTACTTTGTTTATAAAATCCCAAATATGCAAGTGGTCTGAACACTGACTTACATCTTCAAATATTGAAGGAGTGTATTTAGGTGGAATTCCAACTACAGTTGGAGGGGAAGCTCGTCCATTATCACCATAAGCAGGAGCTACAGGATTCATTACTTTACCAGTGTTGTAATTACATTCCAGGGTATAACTGAAAGAATTCAGAATACAAATTATAATTAACTTTTAACAATTAAAAAAAATTTCAAACAGGAGTTTTGAATATTTGTAAAAATGTATACAAAAAATATGCCTTCATTTTATTTCATTATTAAGTCTCCACAAGTTTTGGAAAAAATAAAAAGAAGAAAAAAACATTTAAACATAAACTGCAAATTATGTTCAATATTTTACATAATCAATAGAAACAAATTCACCGCCAATTTTTTATGCTTACACAATTCCTAAAAGAATCATTTGTAAATAAAATTACAATCTCTAATGGTGGGTAAAATGGAGTCTCATTGTCAATTCTCTTGCTTACATGATATGCATAAAACAAATACATCAAAGAATACAAGAAAAACACAACATTTAAACACCAATCCATTTGTGAATACTGTTATATTAAAATTGAAAATAGTTTCATTTCCTTCAAATAAAAATTGTAAAAACTGTTTTATCATTCATATAACCAGCATGGGTATTATATCTTGCATAACATCATGATTCTTGCTTTAGAGACATAATGAATTTGCATCTTCAACTTTAAAAACTAAACATTTGAACCTGCCTTTTGTGTTTTTTATCACCTTTAGCAAGTTTTATAAATAAGTGATGAGGATTTTTCAAGTAAACTGCTTAGTTATTCAAATAGAATCATTTTCTAGCTTGAAAGTGATAACTACCTAAGCATTTACATTAGTCTGGGAGTAAAGTGAAGTAATGGTAACACTGTTTAACAAAACAAATATAAATTACATTTAAAAACAAACAAAAAAACTATAAAATAAGTAACTACCAAAACCTTTAAACTTTTCAAGCTATTTAAATTATGATAGTTTCACTAATACCATTTTATAGCATAGGCAAATCTCACAATGCAGCAGAACAAAAGAAATAAACTTGGCCTGTTTAATACTGGGTATCATTACTGGTGACATACTTTAATATGACCACTTAATGTACAAAAATAAAGAAAAATCAAGAATTCTCCAATTCTTTTGATAAATTCAAATATATACTTACTAGTAGAATGACCCAATATAAGCTTGTTTTTTTTATTTAATTAAAAAATGTATTTTAAAAATGAATTAATATTTCAGAATAAAAGTCTAAGGATACATACATCTTTGCTTCTAAAACTTTTAGATAATTTTAGAGGGTTTCTTGGTAATTATTAAAGTCAGTTATTCAGGATTAAAAGTAATTTATGTAAAATTTTCAAAATTCATATTTTACACTGAGCAACAGAACTATTTTTAAATACATTTGCAAGTCATTCACTTTTTATCTTAAACATATCTCTGGGTTGCATGAACCATATATGTAAAATTACCAAAAGATATTGTTACATAGAAAATAAGTTTTTCTGTTTTTATATTACCGTGTATACACCAATGGTTGTCATACATATTTTTTTAATTACAATGTAATTTAATTCTATGAGAAAATAAAGGTATTTAAATTTATATGATGGATCATATATGAAAATTGTTTATAGTATTAACAAAATTGGTCCATTATTTAAGTTATATATGCCCATGAACAAAATTTCTAAATAATTTAAAAAAAGATTTGTCAATTATATATTTTAAATAACACTACCTGCATATGTAAGACAGGCATTATATTTAAGATTTTGAAAATAATTTAATATGATTCCAATATATTGGATTGGAATAAAAGTTTGTACGATGTTTTTTAAGTGAATTTCAAATACAGTAATTAGATGTTTGTACACAGATTTATTAACCCATATATGTGCCATTTTTGTCCTATTATATTTTGCCATCTTTGAGGTAGCATCTCAGAACTTGACATCTTTCTGGATGATGAACTAGCCTAAGTGGTTTTTACAGGCTTTCAGAAAATTGAAGTTCTTCCCATTAGGAGAATTGTGTAAGAATTGAAACGTGGTATGTAAAGTCAGATGAGTACAGTAGGACATCCCAGCCAAGCTGTACCAATTTATGCTGGGTTTTCAAAGATGACAGACTTATGATTGGCTAATTTCAAACCCTTTTTTTGCTGTCTTTAATCAGTCCAGTTGGTAACAGTACTTGTCTGAATTTAAGGTCTGATCTTGCAGGAAACTAATGCACAATGCCCTTCCAATCCCACTAAACATATAATATCACCTTCTGATGCAAACTGGCTTTTCATTTTCCCCAGGACTTTTTCACTTTACACTATTATAAACAATACATTTTTTATCATCTGTGATTGCTCTTTTCACAAACGCTTTTTTTTTTTTTCGTCTGAATAGACATGGAAATGTGGTCCATACCATTTTTTTCTGTTAAATTGTGAAGCACCTAAACAGCATAGCAATTCACATATCCAAGTGTTTTCAAATGCTTTACAATGCTCATGAAATATATGAAGTATTTCTTCAATGTACCAGGTTGTATGACTGGGATTATTTTTAATTAGCATTTAACTTTAAGCACTCTGCATTATTCAAAAGTTTTACTTCCCCTGCCAATGTATATGACAGTGAGACAACTGATGTAGCATAGTTCTTAACTTCAGGCCTGCTAGAATGTTTTCAATCACCTAGATCAAAATTTCCACTTCTGAAAATAACAAACCACATACAAACATTACTATCAACTATGGCAAAATCTCCATAAATGACACATTTTTTGCTGTTTGTACAGTATCATGACAAAAATACATCCACCATTTTCATTTTTAATATAAAAACATTTAAAATTCACAATCCACACACAAATCATATAGAAAGATGTACTGAAATGTCACTTTTCAGAATATGTCAATTTTCAGTCACATGTGAAATAAAGTCATGTTAAAACACTACCTATTGAAAAAAGCTAGAGTTTTCTTTCAACCGAATAATTATTCTCTCTGATCCAAGTTGAAAAGTAGAATTTCTCAAAAAAATAAATAAATAAAAAAAAAAAAAGGAACGCAAGCAATAAGTTTTGTTATGGAGGCTACCAGTCACTTATTTGATAGAGATGTGTTAAAATAACATTTTTCCTTTCAGTGATAATTTAACAGTCCTACTGAATATCTGGAGCACATAAACTATGTGTGCATTAAATTTTAGCTCAATATATCCAGTAATTTTAGGTTTGGAACCACACACACCAAAATCTTTATGTAAGAAATGAATATTATACAAGAAGTGTTTTCGCACATTTTCATGATACATTGTATAATTTTCAAATTTTCTGAAAATTTTGTATTACTTTGAAGAAAAAAAACTGCCAGAAAAAAAAATAAAAAATAAAAAAATAAAGAGGAGATCTATGTTCATTTTATAATTAGCCTTATGACTCTTCAGAAGCTTCTTTTTTTTTTCAGTAATTCTGCTATTCTATTGAAAAGTAAAAATATATATTAAGATTATGAAATCCAAGAAAGAGAGAACATAATTTCCTTAAATTTCAATAAAAATCAGAAATATATTTTAAAGGATTTTAGAAAGTACTCTTTCTAATGGTATTTATTGAATTTTGTAAATATGTTAATATTACTATACTGAAATCATTACTTTGTTATATTTAGAGTTTAAATTTTCAGTTACTCTTAAATGAAATTTTTCCTAAACAGAAATTAAATTAAAGTAACATTTACACAAGTCATTAAACTTATAAAACATTGTCAAAAGCAGAGACTAAGTGAAAAAAAGAAGTTGAAATACCTGTGTATAATTCCAGTGGATTTATAAACAGCCACTCGTCCACTACCCTCTTTAGAGAGACCATCTCTCTTATCCCTTAAATACATATTTCTTTGAGAGAAGTTGCAAGCAGAAAATTCAAAATGTGCTGTATTCAAAGATACCAACTTAGGGTAGAGCATATTTTGTATCTGGAACACATGAAAACAATATATGAAAAGTTCAATGCAAGAGGCAAACAACCAATATTACAAGGATGAATTAATCAATACGAGATATCCTCTCACATGGACAGGAGATATGAGAACAATCTATCACCCATGGATTGAATAAAGGATTCAGTTTGAAATTCTCAGGTTATCAACTATGATGGAGACCTGAAAAAGGTAAAAGGGTACAATAGCAGAAATGTGGCTATAACAACCAATATATATTATTTACATGTGTGCTATTGTGTTCACCTTTGTTATTGTTATCAGATGTTTGTTGATTTGGGTAGCCTACAGAAGTTTTCAAACTGAACCCTTCATCTAATCTAAAGGAGGTAGATTAGTCAAAGAGCCTCATGTCTAAGAAAATATCTAGTTCTTATTTAGTACTACTCAGTTATTGCTCACTCCATTTCCACTGAGTTCAGGAAACTATTTCCCCAAATTCACAAACCGATGCTTTAATCCACTAGGCTATTGACTCATCGAATAATTTTGAGTGGAGAACTTTGAGCCTTAAATTTAACCTGCCTGTTGATGAGTGCTGTTGTTGCTACTTGTCACAACTGATTGCACTCAATGAGGCTTCTCTTTTTACTATAGCTGTTGTTGCTATTGAAGCTTTGCCATCATTTGTCCATCTTTATTAATGTCTCCCTTATTGTATTTTTTTTTTTATAATAGGCCTACTAAAGAGTCCATCATAGCCCAGCTTATGCAGTGATTCTTTCAGACATCCAATTATACTCTTTTCCCCCTATGTAAGATCAGCCATGCCTGATTTCATGGTCTCACCTTTAATAATATGATAAAGATGAGTACAATAGTCTGCAAATAATAATTCCTCATCCTAGAAATTCAAACACAAATATAACAACCAAGATTAAATCACTAATCAGAGTAAACCAGCATATAATATGAAAACAATTTACTAAATTTTACAGAAAAGAAAAACAGAAAAAACTTACACTTACAACTGATGTTTTCTGAAAAGTAGTTGCATAAATATCGCTTAAAGAACTTGTACAGTCATTTGTGATACTAAAAAAAATATCTACCAACAATAATTGAGAGTTATGTATCCTTGGAAATGTGATTAACACTAGAGAAGGCCATATTAATTATTAGTATTTATTTTCAATACTTAGATGACTAAGCCAAAAACCAAAAAAAAAGAATTCTGATAAAATGTTACTTTTTAAACAAAATATACAGGAGAATTTAAAATATAGCACCATGAATAATAATAATTATAATAATTATAATAATAATAATAAATTATATACTACAAAAGCAGTTAAAGGGTATTTGGTATTATAGATTTAGATAATAGAACAAATTTAACATGCTGAAATTTAGGATTTACATTACTAGGCTTCTTACTCTTATTATAAAATATGCCAGCAGGTAGATTAAACAATAACAGGCCACATTTTAGAAATTTTAATACTTATAAAATTAGTGTCAGTAATCTTTATGAAAGCTGTTGGATTTTGAAAGGATTTGTAAAGAAAGATTATCTCCTGTTGTCAATATCCACATAAAATCTGACAAAAGGTAAGGACAATATAGCAAGTAAGGAGGTGGCAATTGAAGTAATATAGAATTAGTAGCAGTTTACTAAAAAGAAAAATACCCAGCAACTTAATGATTATACATGGAATTTCTTAACAAACCTTTCATTGGTCAATGCAATATTAGTTAAATATCTTGTTCTCTAAATGTTATGCTGCTTCTTGCTTTCCAGCTTGTTGGAAATCTTGCGCAAAAATAGCTTCTGTTTCTTTTCTATATTTTCATGGTAATTGTTCTGATGAGTTTTCCTCATTGGTACCTAGTATTCACAAATTTAAGTGCAGTACTAGGTTTGGTTTGTTTTGTTTTACAGCATATCAACCTCAATGGGTCATTTAATGCCGACAACTTTTTTTCCTGGTAATATTTTTGTTTTGTCAAAAATCTATTTCTTGTAATACTTTTTTCCTCAAAAATGTATAGCTGGTAATTTTTTTTTTCAAAAACATATTGTTGGTAATAGTTTTTTTCTTCAAAAATTTATTTCTGGTAATAATTTTTTTACAAAGTATTTCTGGTATTAAAACCTATTTTTACACCTTCATAATGCTTATTACCTCAGTTTCAGGGTTAACTATTTGCCCATAGCCGGGACCCTAAGAGGTGCTACCACCCCAGGTCAGGGTGGACCTGGGAACACCAGTAATTAAGAGGTGGTTCTACACTCCTCAAAGCCTCCTGATCAGAGGCATTGCTGTTGGACATAGTTTATCGTCTTACCCTAAACGCGGATGTAGTCTATCATCATACCCAGGACAAGTGCAGTACTAGATTAGCAGCTATGTTTCATCATTTTATTGTTGAAATTGCTAAATGTAATCATAAGATCTATGCTAACTGGGTTTTTTTCTTTTATACGTCTTGCAAAAAGCCAGAACTTTCAGGAAAGCAAGAAGTTAGAATACTCTTCCAGCTTCTTGCTTTTCGGTCAACTATGATATTCAAAAAATTAAATGCAACGTCAATTGTCATCTTGTGTTTTTGAATCCTGTTCTTTGTCCTTTCTCCTCAATAACATTTTCTGTTTCTTTCAGTCAGTAATCTCTTATGTCTTAGTGGCTTTATTGCCTTACTTGGAGTGAAATGATAAAAAAGATCCTTTAATGATACTATTTTGTCTAATAGAGGATCTAATGTGCCTCTGCTATACTGTTTACAATATAAAATAATTTAAATGCTTGCATGAGATTTATTAAGTAAATAATTTAAAATATGAATTTATTTGCATATAATTGATAAAAAGAAATAATAGCCTTATATCTTTTAATGTTATATTTTATCTTAATAAAAATACAGACAGTGTAGTAAGAGTTAAATGTTTATAGCATCAACTGTGGGTTTTTTTTAAGCAGATTGAGCATAGTTGAATTAAACCAAGATAAGAACTACTCAATAAATGGAAACAATAGTTCTTTGTCTCTTAATATTTTGATTTTCTTTGTGTTGTCAAAAGAAAAAATATTTTTAAAACATATTTACAGATATTCACTTTTGAGAAAAGTAAAAGCTAAGCTAATCTCAGAGTTACTTGAACTAAACTCTTTTTTTTATCTCTCTCTTTATTAAAAGCTGTCTTCCTCCTCTTGTTTTCTGTCTGTCACTTCAACTTATTTTCTCTTTCTCCATATGAATTGCACAAATAACCTATTCATTTTTTCTCAAAGAGCATTACAGCAAAAACTCCAATTTTTTATTACATAAAAAATTACTACATACTCACAAAAACTTATTTACTTTAAAAGAAAAATTAAAAGCAACAAGTTAAAATGAGAAATAACAGTTAATTTCAAATCTATGAACATAAGATTTTACAAGTGTTAGACTATATGGAATATTTAAATGCTTATTTGAACTCAGTTTTTTTTTTTTTGTTTTGTATGAGTTTATAGTTATGAAGTCTATTGACTGAAATGGAATCCTATAAGATTTAGATTGCCAGTTTAAAGAATAAAAATACTACCTCCAGAGTTATATTTCCAAAAATATTTAAAAATAGAATTGGCATTATATACATTTTCACAAAGAATATTATATTCAACTAGCAGCATGGCCCAGCGTTGGCAGTGCTTGATTCAAAAATCATATGACTCATACAGCAATCTCTATCACTTGACTTAAAATATTTTTGCCCTTCCTTGCCTTTAAAGGAGTGCCCTTTGCTGTACTGATGTTGCTACATGCCTTACTTCTTGCCTATCTCACACTGCGAATTTTTTCTAAGTTCTATACTAAACATTAAATCTCTTACGAAGGAAAGGACTCGTAACTGGAAAACCCAAATGAAAAAAAGAATGTTAACAACAAATACTTTTTCACACCCAACTCAGTTCTGCAGAATCAGAATGAACGTTGAGTTTAAGCAAGCAAATGAGCCAATTGGAGTAAAGTGCCATGCAGAATTAAATTTTTCCCACTTGTGACGAATGCAGCTATCGATTTTTTTGCATGCTAGTTAACATTCGTGTCAGTCAGCTGTTGGCTCTCACGCTGGCCAATAGAATCTTCCTTCCTATTCATGGAAGCCAGCTAATGGCCGCAAACTACATGAAAACTGCCGTAGAAGCACGAAAAAAATCGATTATTTCCACTATTGATGGGAGTTGGGAAATGCAAAGTCAGTCTTGGTCGTCCCGCTAACATGGAGCATGTGCATGTAAATTTTGGTGCAAATCCTTCGAAAATTGCGGCCATGCATTTGTTACACACACACACCTTTTATAGATAGAGATGAGTAGTAAGGTAATCTAAAACTAAATTACAAATAAATTCAATAACATTTTTTAATAAGATAATGGTCATTTCATCTGTTATTGGAGGTTTCATGATCCTTTTATGATTTTTATGGCAAAAAAACAGTTGTTTCTGCTCTTGTAATCTATTTATTAGGAGGCACTGTGGAGTAATGGCTAGCAGCTTAGATTGAGGTATCAGAGAGCCGAATTCGAATTCCATTACATTCATTTACATGCTAATACCCTTGGGAAAGGTATGAATCCTCTTCTTCAAAACAATTTGATTTAAAGGTGTTTCTTACTGATGTGAAAACTGAAAGCTTCAATACTAATAAGGAGCACCTTACACCAAATGTTATAAATTTGTCAAAAACAATGATCTCTTGTAAAAAGATTAACTCACCTGTAATTCATCATCCTCTAGGAAGTTTCCATAAATAAAGCAACCTTTACGTGAGGCATGGCTATGCAGATCAACATAGAATGCAACACCACTATGCTGAGGTAAAATCTGTTTAAAAGCACTGTTGTTCAAGTGAGGGGAGTATGTGATATTGGTATTCAGAGCAGGTTCAATATCTCTATCCTCATCTGAGCCTTCATTTCCCAACCGTGCCACTTCATCTTCTGATTCTGAATCAAGTGACTCAGGATGAAAATTGACTACAGATTCCCCAGCGCCCATCACTATAGTACTGGCATTATCTGATACAGTCAAAGTGGACAGGTGTGACAATAAATCACCATCCACTTTTGCTAGCAGAGCTTCCTTTTTACAATCAGCAGACTGTGATATGATGTTTTTGATAGATTTATTTTCAATTGAATCCTCGGAGTCTGTACTACTTCCACTCATCACATTAGTGAGATTCAGAGGCTCAATTACTTGTTGAGATCGATGAAGAAAAATGTTACCTTGCTTCTTTCTACAGCTTATATCATAACTGTCCAATGAATACTGCCTCTGAATTGAAGAATTATCACAGAATTTTGAGGGTTTGTATTGATCATAAATTCTGGATTTGTACTTTGATCCAGGACTTTCAGATCTTGGGGAATGTTGTAAGAGGCCTGCAGAAGATAAATTTTTACTACATGAACTAGAACTAGAGACATTAGGTTTGTTTTTAGACTGATTCTTTTGTGCATCGGTGGATATGTCAGGAGGTGGAAAGTCAATGTTACTATATAAATTTTTATTCAACCGGTAGTTGACATGGTAGTAAATGATTAGGCTTTTGGCAGCATAGATGGACGGATTCAGTTCAAAACTTGGGTCACTGTAGACCCGATTGAGATTCACTCCTCGCGTGTCAGTTCGGTAGTGGCCATTGTAAACACCATCAGGATTTAAAATTGGAATCAGTTTGAAAACAAACTGTTTACGCAACTGAATAGCACGAGGATCTTCATTGCGCAAGATGAAGTTGAGGAAGCCACTGAATACAAAACTGGCTGGTGTCTCTCCTGGATGAACTCGACTTGTTAAAACAAAAACCTTTAAACAAATAGAAATGAAAATAAGATACAAAGAGAGAAAACAAAGCAAGAAAAAGCAAAAATAGAAAAAAAAAATTTTTAACAATAACCTTATCTTCTATATTTTGTAAATCACTGACACACAGGAAATGAATTAAAAACAGTTTAAGTTAAAACATGTTTCACCCTAATGTTGCATATTATAAAATATACTATACTCATATTCACCAACTGCAATCATTAAGACATAATAAATTTTCACTTATTTTGTTTTACCTCGATTGATATCTAAACACAAAACAAACACAAAAATAACTAGTTATATGAAAGATTAAAAGAAATCATAGTTTAATGTCATTTCTAAAAAAAAAAAAAAAAAAATTTTAAACTCTTTGATTCTATTTTTGACATACCTACTAAGATTTTCCCCAAATAAAACAATGGTAAGAAAAGAACATATTGAGCTTTACAGTTAATGCCAAGTTTGTTATACAATCAACTCAATTTAGTATTATGTCTTACAATTCAGACTAGCATGAATATCTTGGTTGTTTTACTTATGACATTTTGACCAAATGTATCATATCTCTCCATTCATTCAGAAGAGATATCTTTGAAGATATCAGATTTACTTGTGAAATATCTCTCTCAAAACATGTCCATTTCCCATCTCTGAAGAAAACATCCAAGATCTGTATATTCTATCCCATACATTTGTGGCAAGGTATACAAGGAAGAAACAAGTAAAAGTAAAGGTGAAAGAATATCACATTGATATCAGACATGGATGATGGAAGGAAGTTTAGTTCAAATTTTTGAGAAAGTTACTGAGTATGTTAACAGGCACCTGAAGATGGCCAGATATCACAATGGCCAAAACATTGTGAGTATAACAACCAAGATGAACATGTTGCTCCAAATAGTAATGCATACAATAATGATATTCCACATCTCATAAATTCCAACATAAATTCAATTTACATTTATTTTCTTCTAATGGAAAAAAAAGCAAACTTATGTACAATAGCACATACCACCGAGCTCAATGGTTACACTTTGTTGAGAATATTATCAATCTTCAAATGATTTCAATAGAAAAAAGTAATTAAAAACTCATTGGATTTTGGCTTTTGTTACAAAATTTAATGCTGAAAGAGCATCTAAATAAGTTTAAATAGTTTACAGATTTTATAGAAATCATGTCACACTTTTGCAGGGGCTAAAGCAACAACCAAGCTCATGCCACTATTCTATTTGTAAGTGAAAATATATTCACTAATTTAGCCTGTTAAGCCATCCCACCACCACCTTTAGAAATTTATGTCCCTTGCACATCATTTTCCAGCAACACACAGTCATTAGAGAATTCCTATTGTTCTGTTCTTCGCCTATATATAAATTTTTTTCTTTACTAATTTTCACTCTATACAAGACCCAAGAGCCACTCGGGGCAGAGTAAGTTGAGAAGGAAATGTCATTTGTGTCAACAGTTATACATGTACAATAAATTACAAAGTTGCAATAGCAGATTACAGAGTCACCTGGGAAGTGAAGTAAGCAACAGTGTCTGATTTTGATTTAACCAACATCATCACTTGTGACCTTGTCTGATGCACTTCTGACAGTGTTTGGCAAAAGGATACAATCTCACATGCTGACAACTGTCAACAAATTTCTGAAGATTTAGATTTTAAATTTGAGATTTCTCAACTGAAGTTTCTGGATTGTTAACACAGTTCAAGTTGAAAATATGAATTAAATCAGACAATGATTAAATAAGGAACAAATATGGAAATCTTTATAAATTTAACATGGTCTGCTATTTATTTAGCTTCATCAGAAATTTTGGAAGTGGAGTAATGCAAAGTTATGTTTCAATTTTTGAATTATATTTTTGTCTTGTTTTCACTGATTGTGTAGATGTCATGTGTTTACCTCATGAAACATACATACACACAACACCACAAAATAAACTGTATGCCTACGCAATCAAAACATAACAGTTTGTATAGTGATTGGGCAAGCAATTGAAATGTAAATTGAATTAATGGGGTATTGTGTTTCAGTCACTTGCATTCACTTATCACTATAACTTAATATCAGTGTCATTTCATTGTCTGCAAAGGAATGTGTGGAAGAAAGATAATTTTAACTGAAGTACATTTATTCAGTAATCTGTAATAATCTGGACAAATTCCCATGACCAGCATCTTAGATGTTGAATTTTATCATTTTGATTTAGCAGTAAACTTTCAAAAAGCAATCTTTTTTGCATATTCTTTTATGCACTACTAGCCTTTAGCTTATTGAAATAGGTAATCATTACAATGTGCACAATGAATAGAAGTTTCTTCAATAACTCACTTCATAGACTAGATAAAATGAAGTGTTTCCCTGACAAAGCTGTTAACTCTTTAATTATATCCCATTATACCATTGAGAATTACATTACATATTCCGAGAATCTTTCTGCTAAAAATTCAGTTCCTAAAAATTGACACTATTGACACTCAGAATTATAACAAGAAATAGAAAGTAAATCTTTTAAACCAATCAAAATATTTTAGGTGATACTCTCACTTTATTGTGAAATAATGCAGAAAAGTTATTAAGTTATTTACAAAAAATAGACATGTAATTTAAGGTATGAGATTCTTTGGTAAGAAGGAAAACAAGTAAAATTATCCACTTATAGACTATGACAATTTTAGAATTTAGAAAAAATGGTTTCATAATGCAACCAGAAGGCTGCCACTATTGTCAATGAAAATATTTATCACTGATCTGTTTGTTGTCACATATTTGCATCATAAATTCCCAAATGGGATTTTATAATAATTAGTAATTCAGCAACATTATTGAAATGTCTATGCATTTGTGGGGGAAAAGAAAAGTATACATTACTTACACGCTTGTTTTTGAACTCACGACATCTTGGCACTTCTTTTTCAGGGAAAAGTTTGGCATCAAAGCGAGGTTCTTCCTGATCAGTGATGCCATGGAATGAGGATATTGTAATTAGATCTATACGTAGATTTTCTAAGGAATGGCATAAAAGTTCTCTATAAAAGTAGACTGTATCATTTGGACTGAAATAAAAGCAGCAAGAAATTACAAACGTTTTTTAAAAAATAGATAAGACAAGTATAAAATAATATATTTTCCATCACATTTTCTAATGTAATAAATTGTATATTATTCAATATGATTAAAAAAGACTTCATTAATACTTTTTTTATAGAATTTGAACTGTACATCAAAACTGAAATTTTGAATGACTGTTTTAAAGTGTTTGCAGAGGCATCATGTACATTGCTACATGTTTATTTTTAATGATAGGATTTTATCAAGAACCAGTTTTATATGATAGATCAAGTCTGAAATATACAATTTAGATCTTACTAAATTAATATGTTGAAAACAAACAAATAAAACAGAAAAAGTTGAAAATAACTTTGCTGCAAGTGTTACAAAAATTGCTCTAAACTGACAAATAGCAACAACTACAAATTTTAACTATAAAGATATAAAATACATTTACACTATATGAACTTGATACAATCATATTAGCCAACATATAAAATTAAAAGAAATGATGTTTCAGGTGATATCTAACATTTTTTTTTATCATGGTACTATTATTATCTTTAATACAAAGAAATCTAAATGTTCTTCAGTTAATTTGCCATGTTTGATTACAGGAACAATCCAATCAAATGTTTTGACAAATATTTAGCCACAGAAAAAGTATATCTTAAAATAATAATCTTAATTTCAGTTGCTGAAAATGTTAAAAAATAAACCAAACTAAATGAAGATCTTTATGTGTTGAAAGACCAATAATATAAGCGATGATCAATATTGTGAACATATAAAGAAAATTTTATTTGTAGGTGTAGCTTCAGGCTGAGATGTAAGTGATACTCTGAGCCCTAATTTTTAGTAAGGCTTCCTTTAATTACTGATTAGTGAGTCTTTTCCTTTTTGATTTTCAATATACAGCAGACAGACTGAGCACCAAATTTTAGGTCAAAAATTGCAAAATTTGGTAGTTAAACACCAAATTTCATGATGTTTCATTTATTCATAGTCCTATAAATAATCTTCACAAATTGTGTTAATTGGAAAGTATAATTACATAATAGCATTTCTGAATTATTAAAAATGAGCTATTATAAATTCCCGCGTAGTAATTGTACTCTTTCTATTCTCTAGGTAAATTTCTGAAGTATTTAGCAAAAATCAGGTAAGTATTGAATAGTCAATGTTTTAAAGTCATATTTACTACTGTTTATACACTAAAATGTACTAGGGGAATTTGCATACTTCATATATGCTGTTAGTATTTGCTCTTACTAAATATGTGCTTATTAGAATAAAATTAAAAATCCCATCTTTTCATAAACCTTTTCCATATCACAGGTTACACCTATCTAGTTATTATATACTAATAGCTAGAAGCTGATTTTGTATGAGAAATGAGCTTTTATTACGAATCAATTTAGCATTTTCAATATTTTCAAAACATCAAAATTTACAGAAAAAAAACAAACAGTATTAAGTTGACAAAGTGTACTTACTAATTGGAAGCTGATGAAAAATTCTTACAATACTCAAACTTCTTCTCAATCTCACTGACCTGGTTCTGACATTCCAGGTAAGAATGTGGATAGGCAAAGGCAAAATATGTTGTAGATCCCTTTAGTTCAGTGAATCGATGAATGAATGTTAAGATAAACTGACCATCAATTGTCTAATGTGCAGAAAAATGAATAAAAGGGAAAAAACAAAGCTTAATTACAAAAGACAATAATACATTGAAAAAAATGTCAGGTTTCTGAGGGTTATACTGTCATTTCATACAATATTTTAAGAAAGTCTAATAAAAGCAAATCTTAACTTTGTTGATGGCATGATTTGACAAGTTACTGATTAAAAGTATATTAATAAATATCATTGTAACATTTTTCTAAAGAAGGAAATTTATTAATTTTTGGAGCTAGCACTATTCCATTTATTTGAGCTAATTCCATTAACTTTTTTTTTCAATCAAATTAAAATATTAGAGTTTTAAAACTTTCTATTAATATAGAATTTTGAAAATCTAACATTACAGGTGAATGGCATATCCACTTTCATTCATCCATTGTACCAATATCATACAAGGCCAAAATATCCTGGAATCAAACCAAATTCTAATCAGAGAAATACCAATAATGATTTCCTAAGTTATAATCACCCTATAACAAAAGCATGTAATATGAAGATAAAAATAATTTTGTAATTTAGTGAGCTTGTAAACAATGTAAGAATATACAATTGAAGATAATTAGAAAAATAATTACAGAACTTGCAAAAATTTATGACAAAGATCAATAATTAAAAGTTAATCTGTCAGACTACATACTTCTTTATGTGCCATGTCCTCTCAGGACGTAGGTGATCATGGCCCTCCACAACTTCTTGTCCCTTGTAGATTTTAATAAATTTTGTCTTTTTGTTATTTCTCCTAAACACGCTTCTGTCATCCATTTACTCAAGCTCATCAAGTATGCTATGCACTGTTTTACTCTGTCCCTCAATCTGTCCTGTGAATATCAGATTTTCCAAGCCCTCCTTCCTCATTACATGCCCCAGAAATTTCAACTGTCTCTTCCTGATGTAAAGTATAAGTTCTTTTTGTTTCCATTTTCTCTAAAACCTCATTGTTGCTCACATGTTTGGTTCATGGTATCCTTAGCATGCTTTTGTAGAACCACATTTATGGTGCTTCAAGTTTCTTTGTCCAGCATTCACTGCCATATAAGAGGACAGATGTCACATAGCTCTGTACTCTTTTCTAACAAAGTTTTTCTGTCTCTCAATTCTCTGCTTAGCTTTTGAATTCATCTTTGGCTATTCCAATACTTCTTCAGATTTCAGTGTCACATTTTCAGTCCTCTGTTAGAACACTTCCCAGATATTTAAATTTTTGTACAGGTTTGATTTTGGTACCCCAGATTTGTAATTTACTTTTTGGGCTCATCCGTTTGTTAACAATCATGTATTCCATCTTCTTGTAGTTTATGTTTAGTCCTTTAGTTTGCAAAATCTAATCAGCACTTTAAGTTTACATATATTAGCACAAATAGGATTTTTATGCTTTGTTGTATATCTTCCAATTTAGTAAGTTAAAAATGTTAAATTTCATGGTGATAAAAAATAATTTAAAAAAACAAATGGTATAAGAATATAGATATTTTTAAATGTGTCTGTAAAAAACACATTACTGTATTTGGCAATTTTAAGTTTACTAAATACACAAAATTATTTTGTGACAAGATTAAGTTTCAAATTATATTAAACTTGAAATATGTCTGACTAACAAGTTTAATGCTGTTACCTCTGAAATTTATGTAATTTATTAACTTTTGAACATCAAACAAAAATACTCCTTATGCAAGACTTACTAAAATAAAACAAAAGAAAGCAAATTTTATGCACCTCATACGAAGGTTTATCTCGGATACGTTCCCATTTTGGCTTGCCAGGAAGAGTACGTACAAGTGGGCAATATCCTTGACTATACAGTCGTCCTTGTCGGTTCATATTCACTATGTTAATTTTTATCAGTTTGCCTGCTGATGCACCTCGAATACCAAAATGAAACCATGACCTTCAAAAATAAACAGAATTAGAATCAAATAGTTTTTCAGAATATGTAAATAATTGGTAAAAGCCAAAATAAATAAATAAATAAATAAAACATAACAGTGAGAAAAACAATAATATATGTGTGTGTCATAAATTGCAAAATTTTCTTTTATCTTTTCAGATGTTACTTTTTCTAAATATTCACTGACTATAAGAAATGAGCTGTGTTATGAATACAATAATAACAGGACAGTCAGAATTTAAATCACTAGTAATGGTTATTCCTTAGATATTCTATCTATAAAGCTGTCATGCTGCCTACCATCCTTAATGGAACTGAACCCTGAATATTCTACCAACATCACCTCCACTTTCCTCAAAGACTTCCATCAACATGCAATGTTCACTGAAGTGACTTCCTTACAAATTTCAAAGTCCTCAAGACAGCCAATACCATAAGCATTGAGGCTATGCAGCAAAAGGTATATTCAAACTGAGCGGGTCATATGTCAAAGAGCCTTATATATATATATATATATATATATATATATATATATATAAAAATAAATAAATAAATAAAACAAACTAATAATCCAATTTACTCAAATTAAAATTTTGATGGATTTGAACTTTGATATTCTTTTAATATTGATAAAACATTTGAGCTATTGTGTATCATTTAATTAGGATAATGTCAGAATTAGCAAAACCAAATCAAGACAACCAAAAGAAAATAGCCAATATGAAGTATACATTACTTACCAAGGTCATGACAAAATTGTTAATGAGAATGCTATATTATCTTTTTAATATTCTAAATTTTGCAATTTCTTAATACATTTTCTTTATTAACTTGTTAAATAAAAGGAATGTTTTAGTAGAATCTAATAACTTGGGTTTGACATTCAAATGAAAAATAAATGAAACACTGAAAGAAAAAAAAATCATAGAAAATAATGCAATGCATATTTTGAAATATTGAAATGTTTCAAATAAATATAGTTAGAAAATATAGTTTATAACTGAAAAATAAAAAACAAATATTCCATGCATAAATTTATAAATGCTAAACTTAGGTCATCATAAAAGAGAATTAAAATTGACAGATTATACATCTCATACACAGAGGGTGCGATGGATAAATTGTCGTCTAAATTACACAAAAATTAACATAACACTGAAATATTATTTTAGCAGATATATTTACCAAAATTCCACAAAAATATCTTGAAATACTAAAAGACTAAATTTATTCAATATAATCACCATTGGCTTCAACTATGGTCTCTAGATGGCTTCAGAATCTCCTGAAATTCTTCTGAATGGTCTCCTTGTTTAAGTTGGTGAATGCTGTAATAATCCTTGCCTTCAGTTCATCTTTCATGTTACAAGGAGTTTTGTTGGTCTCTCACTCAACTGCACCCTGCACAATAATCAAAGGGGTTGCAGTCTAGGGAGTTAGGTGATGTAAGCAGTGATGTGATGTGGATGCAGAAATGGTCTGACAGCTATGACTGGGTTCTTCTGCTTGTTTGGCATGATGCAGATTTCTGTTGCCAAACATAGGGTCTTCCAGCAGCTACCCTCTTGACCTAGAGCGGCACTACCTCTTCAAAGCACTTGATGTAGGCCTCCATGTTGAGGCTCAATGGGAAGATGAATGGAGGCATAACACCACCATCACTAGTGATTACTCCAAACATCTTCGTAATTACCATTAGACTTATCCAAATCTTTATGAACCCTCTGCACTGTCCTCAGATTGACACCTAAACACTTTGAAATGTTCATATTGGAGTGTCTGGCATGAATGCCAAGTAGTACAGCATGCCATTTCCAAATGTGAATAAGGAGTGAACTGCATCATGCTGTTCTTTTTTTCTCAGCTTTTTTGCCCATCTGACCCTGCAGTTGACAAAATCACACATGTACAAAATTAAAAATATAAAATGGCGACAATTTCCCCATCGCATCATGTATATATATTTTATTTATTAGTAAAGCATGTATAACTAAGTCTAACCTGTTGCCATTTTCATAGATTGTATTTGCACAATCTGGTTTAGTCCATACATTGAACTCATAGTCAGGTTGAAAATCAGTGTTTTTTATAGGTGGAATATTTGAACCTAAAAAAAATAAAATAAAAAAATATATTTTTTAACTTTAACATTAAAAATGATTTAGCAGTACAGGCTTATGTTTGATCATAGTAGCAATTTTTTAATTAAAAAAGAAAAAAGTCTGGAAAAATATACAAGCAAACATTATATATAATATACTTGTAAAATAAAAGAACATGTAATATAAAACTACTTTATAGAACCAGTGATAAAATGATTAATATTCATCAACAAAAAAAAGCTGGACATTTAAACAATTAATTTTCAGAATAATACATAGATTTGAAACTGATGGTGATATAATCAAATGAAACTATTCTACCAAACAAAATGTAAATAAGAGAGAAAATATTTTTCTTTTAGCATTTCTTTTCTTCACTGAAAAGAGTTTTTGAAAGGAAAGCATTTCATAGATATAAAAAAGTAACTTACCAACTGGAGTGTCATTGGTATGCTCTCTGACTACTTTTTCTACTTTGCTTAAATTTCCAGAGTCAAAATTTGACGTGAAAAATAGACCACCAATCTGCACTTCCATAGTCACTAAAATAACAAGTAAAAATTATTAAAAATTCATTCAAGTATAGAAAATTATCAAATTACAGATTATATATCTCTTGAAAAAATTCACCACTAAAATGTCTAGTTAATTGAAAGAGTTCCGTTTTATCAAACAGACAATATTCAAAGAAACTAAAACATATCTTTTAGCATAAAATTTCAAAGATTACCAATGTTCTAAACAAGATGTCTGGTTTTATACACCACCCACTATAATTGACAATCCCAAAAAATATTTATTAAAAGTTATTTTCAACAGAAAAAAAAAATGCCACCCAAAAAGGATTTTAATGTTTTATTTTAAGAATAAATGCATATTCCAAAGATAGAATTTTATTCAATAACATCAGAAGTCAATCAGAAGACTTATCTCTAAGAATTGGACATGAGTGCATGTAAATCTTCCAGTATTTTCTTGAATGCTCTATAAACTTAATTATTTTGAGTACATTTCTTGAAAAAGAAATAAACCTGTATGTATACTATACCAGATTCTATTATGCAAATCAATGTTTTCCTAATTGTTATTTAGGAAGTGGTGTTGGCAACAATTCCTGGAAATATTTATATGTGCAATATATCATACAAATGTCAGCTTATAATCTTTACCTTTTTTTTTTTAATCATTTCTCTCCAAGCAAAGCAATAAAAGTCACTAAGATGCAAGGGGTGAAAGAATATGAGAAAAAAAAACTACATTATTAAGAAGAGAGAAAATAAAAGACAAAAAGATAATGAATGACTTTGCATTTCAATTTTTGAAAATCAAAGTTGACTAGAAAGCAAGAAGTTGGAAGAGTGTTCCACAAGCAAGAAGTGTGAAAGAAGAGCTTACTATTACATCTAGCAATTTCAAATTTAAATTGCCAATCTAGTACTGCACTTAAATTTGTAAAGTCAAAGTACCAAAGAGGAAAGCTCATTAGTGACTGAAACCAAGATGCCAGGTCAGAACTGATAACATTGCAGATTACTTTATGGATTTTATCAAGAATTCATAAATACATAGTAGAAGCACTAAACCAGATGTAGCACAAATATTCAATGCATGGAGGAATTGTATACTTATAAATCTGTAAGATTCTGGTAACAAAAGTTGTCTAGCATGATACAGTAAACCAACTTTCCTAGAAATTAATTCAATATGATATTTCCACTGCATGTCAATGGAAAATGTTATCTAGCACAATGAGCCACTGTCCTGGAGATTGGCAGATGTCATGCTGATGGAAGGCAAAAAAAGGGTGAGATGATTAAAAGAGCAGTTTCATTTTGGATCCATTAAAATTAACAAGCCATTTCTAGTTAACAACAGATTGTACGTTATTTGAGAGATCAGTCAGATGTCCTATTAACACAAGCAAATAGTTGTGTCATCAGATCTGCACAGATACATTATTACTTTATTACAAATATTAATAACTTGCTTATTGAGTATCAAATTTTATTAGACAGACAAATTAAGTGCAATATAATTTTTTATTTATAAATAAATTCAAAAAGGATATAGGCAATAGAAACAAATTTAATTAATACAATCTCATACCTGAATAAATTATTTTATATATTAATATGGTCTTCTAGGCATTCTATAACCTTCATCTTTCCTCCATTTATTTTCTATGGATTCAAATTTAACATTACTTGTAGTAATTATTATGGTTTTCTAGAAATCTTTGCCTGAATATTGTTTTCCATTTTCATATACATTTCTTTTAATGATAGATCACAAAATTATTACTCAATATCTGAAGAGGGTAGATGTTTGTGCGTGGGGGGTTACATTTCATTAATTTGTCGTCTTTGAAACTTTATTTAACCAAATGAGCAATAGTTAACTTTGCAGAATGTGAGGGAACATTATCTTGTATTAATATACACTTTAACTTAAAGTTTTTTTAGTTATGGAGATATATATATATATATATATATATATATATATATATATATATATATATATATATATATACACACACAAAAAAAAAAAAAAACATCTTGTTCAAGAACTTACAATAATTGTCTGCATTTATCTTGGTACCATCATTGACCTCCCCACCATTCCATTGTCTAAATTATATTGGCTGACTATTTCCATGAAAGACAAAAACCATTAGACCAGCTATCAGGACCATCTAATGTAGCTCTATATTCATCACTAGAAATTGCTGCTGAGACTATAGATTTCATGTAATTCTTCAACCAACTTATGTTTCTTATTGTGAATTTTATTTAAAGGGGATAGTTTGGTTGTTTTATGTCTTTAGCCAGCTCTTAATATTTTGCATTTGTAACACCAGCTTTTTCAAATATTTTCTTGCTGGTCAGTCCACTTTTCTTATTGTTTTAAATTGTCAATTTTTTAAGGCATTCTTAAAATCATATTTTTTTTTTTTTATTATCTTGCCTATTTTTAAAATTTCTTTTTTCATTATTCTCTAATCTGTTCAATATTTTTCATAATCTCTAATATTGTGATGCATTCCAAAAGCTAAACAAATTACTAAGAAACAGGAAAATTTGTTAGAAACAAAACAAGTGATGGATTATTATGCATTATCAATCATCCTATATGGCAGTAAATACTGGACGATCACATCCAGACAAAGAGAAGGCTGAAGGCAACAGAAATGTGCTTCTATAGAAGGATGCTGAAAATACCATGGATAGAGCATGTAAGCAATGAAGAAGCTTTAAGGAAAATATAATCAAAAAGAACACATACTCCTGTGAAATAAGGAAGGGGGTCTTGGAGAATTTTATATTCACATTACCTACCGAAGGCAAAAAAAGAGATGGCAGCAGACCACCTACTGGATGGGTTTGTGTGAATGGATGACAAAAAGACAAGTTACTAGGAGTTACAAGGTAGAGGAAGTTGTGAAGAGTCATGATCACCCATGTCCCTTCAGGACATGGTACATAGAAGTTCTGACTACTCAATAACTTTACAATATCTTGTTTCTCTTTTGAAGTAATCTCTTTCTTATGAGTCAGATAAGTTGTAAAATATTAAGAATATTGGCTAAAGACATGAAAGAAACTATGCCCTTTCTACCTAAAATGGAAAAAAAAAAATTGTAGCTTAGTCAAATAATTTAAGTAATAAGGCATTCAGTAAAACAGCAAATATGATTGCCAGCAACATGCACTAACAAGTCTAGTATTAATTACTAAATAACTTAAAAATAACTGCAACATAAGAAACCATGTTGCAGAAATAATACAGTTCAGTCTACAACTGATACCAGTCTTATTAGCATTAGAAGCTATCACAGTGACATTTGTTTTGGCTATGTCTTACTTTTTCAATACTTAGCAAAAGGCAGGCAGGATATTTATTCAGAGAGGTTAGCTGAAAAAATTTTTCAAGGTTATATATACAAGGAGGGAAACTGAAAAGCTCTCAGCTCAACCAAAAAGGGATTAAAATATACATTTTGGTTAGATTTGGAGAAGTGGGACAAGCTGAGAACTTTTCAACATCCATAGATAGGTAGGTAGGTAGATAGATACATGCACATATATATTCATTAGAAATATTTCATAGGAGTGGGATCACATATGTCATAATTATGAAATTATTCTTGCAAGTAAGCAATTTAATAAATATTTTTGTTGTAAATTCTCAAAAATAAAAAAAAAATGTATAAATCCACTTTTATGTTTGGGTTTAAAATTCTAAAACATTACTTTTTAAATCAAATATTGAAGAGGAAGTCAAAAGCACATGCAGTAATAGCTGTGTCAAGGGAACATTTTTTTTTTTTTTTTGAAGACACACTGATTAAAACATTGGCTAAAGTTTTAACAAAGTTGTTAAAGTTTTTTCAGTTTTTAGCATCACTTATTTATAATCTTCCACCAGTAGATCTGTGACTTAACAAGCTGGTATGAATAAATTACAAAACAAAGACAAAGAGGGATGGTAAAGTATCAAAAAATAGTTAGAGCAACAAAAGACAGAAATGTGTGGAGAGCCATAATTGCTACATCCTAAAAGGATTTGGCATATAAAAGAAAATGATTAGATAGATGAATGACATTTTGTATACATATCCAAATTTCTGAAATGATTTAGCAGATTCTAATTAAACTAACTACATAACTTTTAATGTGTAATATCATATGCAAATTAGGTAGACAAGTATAAATAGAGAACAACTGGTGAACATAGGGGAATTGCTTAGCAAACTAGTTTGCTAAATATACTGTGGAGAACTGTGCTACAACTGCTACTACACAGAGAGATATACCAAACATAACAATGGCGTTGCTGATAGGATCGTTAAATTCGCTGGATGACCCAGAATACAAATACATGGATAAGAACTTTTGCTGCATTTGCAAGAGTGAAAAAATTAAGAGACACAAAGACCAACAGAGGAGTAAACAAGATAACGGATTTATTTTTTGCTACCACTGGGTATGAAGCTGTGAAGAAAATTTCGACAATGTGTTATCCAAGCGAATTAGAAGAAATGACATTTGAAGAAATTGTCAAAATTATAAAAAAGAACTTAAGACCAAAGAAAAGATTGGTCATTGCTGAAAGAACCAAGTTTTTGGAGACAAGACAAGCACCCAATGAATCCATTATACAATACTTACATAGATTGAAAGAACAAGCCAAGTATTGTGAATTTGAAAAGTTGGGAGCTTTAGAAATGACTATAGAAGATGAATTAATTCTTCTCAGAATAACTGAAGGCTTGCAAGACCAAAATCACAAACGAAAAATACTGGAATGTCTACAGAGTAGTAGCATGAGTTTGGAAGCTAGCATCGAGTTTTTACAACAGAGTTGATTAGAGAATTTAATCAACCAAAAGAATTCAAGACATACAGGACGAGCATAACCAAATCCATAATTAAATGTAGATATTGTGGAAAAAATCATGAGAGAGACAAGTACAAATGTCCAGCTCTAGGAAAAATATGCTCAAATTGTAAAAAAAAAAACAAGAGATCATTTTCAGAATGTA